GCCTGCCTTTATCTACCCTGACCCTCGTCCTACCTGCCTCAATCTACCCTGACCCTCGTCCTGCCTGCCTTTATCTACCCTGACCATCGTCCTGCCTGCCTTTATCTACCCTGACCCTCGTCCTACCTGCCTCAATCTACCCTGACCCTTGTCCTGCCTGCCTTTATCTACTCTGACCCTCGTCCTGCCTGCCTCAATCTACCCTGACCCTCGTCCTACCTGCCTTTATCTACCCTGACCCTCGTCCTGTCTTTATCTACCCTCACCCTCGTCCTGGCTTAAGACTTACACAGGGGTGAGGTCTTACTATATTCAGACATTCAATGGTTTTGTTTCACTTCAGTTCTAACAACCCGGTTATTCCCGATACCTGGTGACACATATATCATAAAAACACTTTCTCTCCGGTTACAATGCATTCACTTATTGAAATAGCCATTTTGAAGAAATCATATCCTGTATAAATTGTGAGATACAGCAACCGACATCGATCATCTGACCACATGTGGTGTAACAGTTCATTATTAGTTTGTCTGTTTTGTTTGTTTGTTTGTTGTTTAACGCCGCACTCAGCAATATTCCAGCTATATGACGGCGGTCTGTAAATAATCGATCTGAATACCTAACAATCTCATCACATGCAGCTAGTATAGAAATGCCCAAAATGTAAATCTGGACTCCCACTCGAATATAATGGATGTAGCATACACATTTATTCCAAGTTAGTGGCCATTATATTTTATAAATCGTGTTGGGATAGGCACAGTTTAATAGCCAACAACAAAGGTGATACCCTTGTCGTAACCCCGTGCTGTTTGATTCAATACAGCCACTTCTTTACGAGGGGTTCTAACGCTACCTCTGATCCCTTTGATGTGTAAACAAATCACCGAAGTGAATTTCACGCGAAGCTACTAATGCAAAATCTTTAGAAGACGAGACCCAACTGCCTGAGACTCAGAGACGAAAGACCTTCACAACTGCTTTGTGTCATCACGCATAGACTTGTCGCGTGGGAAGGCTCTACTATACAAAGGCGCAGTGTCGTCTGTGTGTGACCTCCTGATTGTATCAAGTCTACATATACCTGACAATATTTCAGTTTGCGACCCGGGTCAGTCAGGGCCCTTTTATTGTACATGGTCGTCAAAGTATGAAAGCCGTCTTGATGATTCGAGAGCGTGATTTATTCTCTATACCATATTACTAGCAGTACAATTAACGTTGATGTTTGTTCGAGGTTTGCACGTGTACAATATGTTGTTTCTTGATGAGAAACCTAATACGTATTCTGTACCGAGACATACAATAACGGATGAGAAATACTACCCATGGGGTACTGTCTAACCTTGAGATGTATTGAATCTAGTATTTTCCGGAACCAACATGGACATATTACTTTGGATGAGTTCAGAACACCTGTACTATTTATGACTACTTTGTTACTTTGTCATAATCGGGGCGGTGGGGTAGCCTAGTGGTTAAAGCGTTTGCTCGTCACGCCGAGGGCCCGAGTTCGATTCCCACATGGGTACAATGTGTGAAACCCATTTATGTGATATTGCTGGAATATTGCTAAAAACGGCGTACAACCAGGCTCACTTACTCACTCACTTTGTCATAACCCGGCATAAACATGAGCTTAATTGTTCTTGGACATAAATTTTACCCATTTACTGAAAAAAACTCGCCATGTAGTTCTGAGGGCATATTGTTAATTATGTCCTAAATAAACTGCCGGGCAAAAGGAAGCATACATCAATGTTTGATGGTGGCTAAAAATGAAGCAAAGAAGAAATGGTTATTCGATGGTGATGTATTTGATAGGAGTATCATAGTTGTGTCGGAGCTTAAGTTGTCCGTGTGTCGGCTACTGTTTTCAGCCAAGTAACGTTTTGATAACTTTTGTAATTTTTTGGTCAAATCCGGGGTGGCCGGGTGGCCCAGTGGTTAAAGCGTTTGATCTTCATGCCGAAGCCCGGGTTCGAATCCCGACATGGGTAAAATGTGTGAAGCCTATACTGGTGTCCCTTGCCGTTATATTGCTGGAATGTTGCTAAAAGCGGCGAACAACCAAGCTCACTTTCTCTCTTACTTCGTCATAACCGGGGATGAACATGAGCTTACTTGTTCTTGGACATACACTATTACCCATTTACTGAAAAAATCTACATATAGTTCTCACTCACTCACTCACTCACTCACTCACTCACGCACTCACTCACTCACTCACTCACTCACTCACTCACTCACTCACTCGAAAATTGTCGATAAGAACTTAATTATTACATATTCACAATAACATCTTTTGCGGTATTCGGCTGAATGAAGGGGTGAGTAGCCCTGAAACGTGCATTATAAAGAGGTTATTATCCATAATATTCCATGAATTAATCATGTCCTAATTCCATATGCCCGCACAACTCTAGAACTTAAAGGTATTTCCACATCAGTACTTTCATTCAAACTACAATAATTCTAGTTGACATGTTATCCCGTCCGTGTTTGTCGTGTATTGACGACACTCAAAAAGACGAATGCAGCCAGATTACGTTTTACAAGGCAGCAGTACAGTTTCTGTGTATCTACAAACACTGGCTCTGTTGCAGTCTTAGCACAGCTCAGGGACAGCTTCACGAACAAAGTGTCTTCGATTGATTTGACATTAAGCTGCCATACACGAGCTTGGGTCACGTTATCCAATAATTCACTCTCGCCATATCTCGTCACAAACGGGGTGGCGAGAACACTGGCGTTTAACGACATCGTCCATGGACGTGGGACAAACATATGGGGGTTGTAAAGTCTTTACTACCCTTGCACACTGGCCACAGCCTCAGAAGGAACTCTATCAACAGGGTTTGTGTCAAGTCGAACTTCCCGTCAAGCAGCTTCAAGAAGCCAGTCCATTATATTTCAAAATATTTAAGTTGATAAAGGAGTCCGCACTGTCTCCAGTAGGTTCTGTGTAACCACGAAGGTGAGGTGAGGTGAAATTTGGGTTTAACGTCGCGTCCAAGATTATTGCACCTATATAGCGACGTGCATGCACGTGTGTGTGTGGCTGCTTGTACTAGTCCGGACTGATGCCGATTTATAGTGCTAGCTCACTGTGATACCATGCCGCAGTTTAACATGAATACCCCACTCAGACACAGTATACTGACTCCGAGCCGACCAGTCCTTGTTTTAGCCTTAATGCCAAGCGCCAGACAGGGTAACAACAAGTAGCATTTTTTAACGTCTTTTGGTATGACGCGGTCGGGGATCGAACCCCGGACCTTCCGCTCTCCGGGCGGATGCTCTACCACTAGACCACGGAGGCGGTCGTAGCCACGTAGTGTCATACAGCATTCATTTGGGAAGTAAACTGAACTGCCAGACAAAAGAAAGCATATGTCCATGTTTTGATGGTATTAAAAATGAAACAAACAAAAAATGGTAATTCGATGGTGATGCATTTGATACGGGTATTATAGTTGGTGGTGTGGATCTTAAGTTTGAGTGTTTCGGAAACTGTTTTAGCCTTATAACATTTTGTCAGCATTTGTAATGTTTTGTTAAGATCCAATTTTCAGGTGTTTAATTACTTTCTCTGACCCGGCAACGTGGAGGTAGTGAAGGCGTGTCCAACCGCCACATCCATACTGACAAGTCTTTTTCTCTCATCCTCATAAATTAAATATATTTATTCAATACTTACATTGACTTAAATGTTATCTCAGTTTAAATCCAAGTCTGAAAACTTTAGGGGAACGTATTTGTATGTCTTTTTTCTCTCATCCTCTTAAAGTAAAAGGGGCGGTCGGGTAGCCTAGTGGTTAAAATGTTCGCTCGTCAGGCCGAAGACGCGGGTTCGATTCCCGACATGGGTACAATGTGTGAAGCCCATTTCTGGTGTCCCCTTCGTGATATTGCTGGAATAGTGCTAAAAGCGGCGTCAAACCATACTCACTCACTCTTAAATAAAATATATTTATTCAATACTTACATTGACTTAAATGTTATCTGAGTTAAGAAGAAGATAATGACTACAGGATAGGTCTTACTATTTTCTAAGCTGTCGGGGGTTGGAAATACGAAAACAAAATCACGGTATCTACATCTTGAAAACAACTTAAATATTTACCAATACAAAAAAAATACAAAAATAATGTAATGACTGAAATGACAGTGTATTATGCAGCTGGACACACGTCACATAACGGTAGTTCCTAGGTAGGTGACGTTCTTGTACATATATGTGTCCTAGGTCTGCATGATTCATGTATGTGTTATGTCTGTGTCATGTATGTGTCTTCGTGGAATCCCTTGTCATGTGTAGAACACATTTCAACGTCAAGAATGGCACATAAACATACACGACTATGCATGATACACGGCCTGAAGTACATGGAATACCTCAACCAAGCTATGATGGTGTCGTTAAGTGAGTGAGTGGGTATTGCTTTACCCCGCGTCAACAAGGTTCCAGCTTCTCTCGACGGTCTCCTCGTCTTTTAAGATCACAGTCTGAATGATAAATCGGAACATCGTTGTCTTCATGTTCAGGATCTAATACTGCAAAACGTTGGGACCATTAAATTGAGTATCCTTCAGTTGTAAGTCTCATGACAGACCTCATAACTACGCATTGATGACTATGGCTTGACATACCGTATCAAGGGGAGTCGATATCTGGATAACCTCACAATTTGTGTACAATACAAGTACAACGAAAAAGACCCACAGCTTGAAGCACAGATCTCCTATCACAGGGTAGTTTACACACTATTCCTTTGAACAATTAACTCGTGTTATTGACACCCGCAAGTTAAATGATTAATATCGGTAGCTAATGTCCACGAGACGCTTTGTTCCCTCATTGTCATCAAGGTCAAGATAGCACAGTGCGATTGTTTGGGTATGGTGTAGCTCACTGAAACGTACCACTATTGTTGTCTCCGCCCCAACCACTCTGTATAGAGTATCTGACTCCACAAATAACGTTACATGTAAAATGTCATTGTATTAATTTAATACTATTTCTTCCATTTGCCTGTCACGATACAAGCTTCTAACACCAGATACTGAACATAAAACAACACGTACAAATAACTAAATTAGTCATGTGTGAAATAATTACAATCATCCACCAATAACGTCCTATCAGTCAATTTCTTTGTTATATCTAGCTGCAGTAAAGTAATAGATAAAAACCAGCTCTCAAAGTTACATTTTTACCAAATGTAAATTTTACAAAATGTATCACTGTCTTTCTTGAATCTATATGACTTTGTATAATAAATATAAACAATACATATTTTAGTAATGCCACTGATGAGTTTACGGGGGGCATCAAAATACCAACAACCACAGTATACAGAATACATCACCGACTCCAGTACAACATGTGTCCACTATCTTTGTTCGAGACCATGATTGATCGCCATCACGTCGAACCGTCTATAGTTATAAAAGTACTAAAGGCTCGATATATTCCTTGAGTCCATTCAGACAAGTGCACATAACACATATCTCCATAGGATGATGTCCATCAGAATGGTCCAGATGAATCCAGATGAGTCGAGATAAGTCCAGATGAGTCGAGATAGGTCCAGATGAATCCAGATGAGTCGAGATAGGTCCACATGAATCCAGATGAGTCGAGATAAGTCCAGATGAGTCGAGATAAGTCCAGATGAATCCAGATGAGTCGAGATAAGTCCAGATGAATCCAGATGAGTCGAGATAGGTCCAGATGAATCCAGATGAGTCGAGATAAGTCCAGATGAGTCGAGATAAGTCCAGATGAGTCGAGATAAGTCCAGATGAATCCAGATGAGTCCAGATAGGTCCAGAGGAATCTAGATGAGTCGAGATAAGTCCAGATGAGTCGAGATAGGTCCAGATGAGTCAAGATAAGTCCAGATGAGTCGAGATAGGTCCAGATGAGTCAAGATAGGTCCAGATGAGTCAAGATAGGTCCAGATGAGTCGAGTTAAGTCCAGATGAATTCAGGTGTTACTGATGAAGATGATATATCCAGGTTCCCTAAGATTTTTTCCCAAATATTTCGTCCACAGAAAGCTCCCTCTCCCGTTCCGTTGCCTCCTTGGATCTGATGTACCTAGCCTTCTTGGCTTCCTCCCACGTCTTGTCGGAGGAGGGCATGGCGTGGATCCTTCTCAGAGAACCGTCGGGATTGTAGTGCTCTGGATCAAAGTCCATCGGCTTCTTGTGGGCATCCACCGCGGGTCCCCTGGGTCGGGACGCCCTCCTGGCCTTGTCCTTCGCTGCCTGGTCCTCTTCGTGTATTTGGACTATTTCGGGGTCATCCCTCTTGACGTCCCGTGACGTCTTATTTGACGTAACGTCTTTCCGTTGAGGGTCCTCAGATAGGCGCCTGGAAACGTTAGTTTTCACCGACTTCATATCCAAAGAAGCGAGCTGGGTTAGATCAAGAGATGCTCTTTGAGATCGGCGCTTGCTTCTTATATCGGATTCGATAAGGCCGTTTTGTGAAGCACCTTCCCAGCCACAAATATTCCTCTCTATTGATTTCCCTCTCGGGTCTAAATCATTCAAACTTTCTGTGTCAGCTTCGCAGGGGGTGTCCGTCGAGCTGTGGCCTTCTTTCACGTTAGGGTCAATATTACGAGGCGATCTGACCACACGTTCTGTAATATCCTGCCTGTCGCTCTCACGAGGTGATAATAATGCCAAACCCGGATAAGCCTCTATCGTTAGCACGCTCACGCTAGGGTTTCCTGAGTGGTCGGGTATTGTGTCACTCGATTCGTACTGGGGGTGCCGCTCGTTTTCAGCAGGCACAATACCTCTAACGTGACAACTATCTCTCTCATACGGGGACAGATTTTCATTGGCATATTTTACATTGGACATCAGGTTCTCTAGCCGACTATTCCTAACCCGTGGGGTCACGTGACTGTAACCATTTAGCGTCAAATTCCCCACGTTCCCTGAAGCTGTCGGCAGCAAAGGCTTTTTTTTCATTCCTTGTCTAATCCTGTCCAGCTCCCTCTCCACCATACGCTGTTCTTGTTCATAATTCTTCATCCTGTATTTGTGTTCATCCTTAATGCCCCGCCTGCTGTCAATCTCCAGGCTCAATAGCCTCTCCTCGCGTTTATTCTGAGCTCTAGCTATTTCAGAATTTCTAAATTGTGAAGTCCAGCTTTTCATTTTGACAATCAAATATTGTACCGAAAAACTCGAATTCACTTGGTAAATCAGCAATTCATTATCAACGATGTTTTAAATCCTTTAATCGGCTGCCCGCGTCTTGATTTGTTCATTCTACAAATGTTTCTGAAAAAGGAAAGAAAGACAAGATAAACATTTTGCTCGATACTTTTAACTAAAAGTAATATTCAACGAAACGTTCGTATCTGGGTCTTGAGTGATATATGTGCAATGTGTCATGTACACTTCTGTGTTTGGCTGAAAACGTGCAGGTGTTTCTTAGCGAAATAAACACAAACATAAACACCGGTTTATGTGAATGGGAACACCTGTATGGAAAAGGTATGTTGGTGTTTCTGTTAATGTTTGCACAGCCATTAGTGTGTTTAGCGGAACTTACGGGTAAGTAGGCACTACTCCAGAGTAATGATATTTAAAAGGAATTCCTTGTTAAATGCCGACACTATGCATTGTGGTTATGTCATAGTTTCTGCTACTGCTTTATCACAGCAATATATCACTCGGCAATATACCTGCCTCATATAACTCCTGCTATATGAAGGCGGTCTGTAAATAATAGTGTCTGGACCAGACAATACAGCGATTGACATCATGAGCATCGATCCACGCAATTGGGATACGAAGGTGAGATGAGGTGAAATGGGGTTTAACGTCGCGTCCAAGATTATTGCACTTACATAGCGAAGTGCATGCACGTGTGTGTGTGGCTGCTTGTACTAGACCGGATTGATGCCGATTTATGGTGCTAGACCACTGAGATACCATGTCGCAGTTCAACATGAATACCCCACTCAGACACAGTATACTGACTCCGAGCCGACCAGTCCTTGTTTTAGCCCCTTAATGCCAAGCGCCAGACAGGGTAACAACAAGTACCATCTTTTAACGTCTTTTGGTATGACGCGGCCGGGATCGAGCCCCGGACCTTCCGCTCTCCGGGCGGACGCTCTACCACTAGACCACGGAGGCGGTCGGGGTACGAAGGCGTGCAATCAACACGCTTGACCACCCGATCCCGTTAGTCCCCACAGTATAGGTTGCTGCAGAGCTATATTCTTACCCGGATTCCACACGGGTCTGATAATAAGTAAAGTACAACAAGAGATTGTGACCTTGGACAGAGGCTGTTTGGGTTCCGACTTTGTCTGTACGTCACAAGGAGCATGCACTATCAAAGGGAAATGTCGAGTCATAAAGTTTCATTACCTGCGTCATAAATTTCACAGGCTGTCATACTGTGACAACTTCTACGATCAAATCGGATATACACAGGTGTGGAATCCTGTAGAAGTGCACGAGTCATGTTGTGTCATGTATTGTTGTAAACCCGTTATTTTGTGTCATTAACGGGTTTTCTGTGCCTTTGACGTCTCGTTATGAACCTTGTTATTTTGAGTGAGTGAGTGAGTGAGTGGGTGGGTGGGAAAATGGGTGAGTGAGTGAGTGAGTGAGTGGGTGAGTGAGTGAGTGTTTTGGTGTTTGAGTGAGTGAGTGAGTGAGTGTTTTTGTGTTTGAGTGAGTGAGTGAGTGAGTGAGTGATAGAGTGAGTGATAGAGTGAGTGATAGAGTGAGTGAGTGAGTGAGTGAGTGAGTGAGTGAGTGTTTTGGTGTTTGAGTGAGTGTGTGTATGTGTTTGGGTGAGAGAGAGTGAGTGAGTGACAATAATCTAGTCTGGCGATAGTGAGCTTCACACGTTTTACCCCTGTCAAGGATCACACCCTGGTTCTCCGCGTTACTCTCAGCGGTTTATTTCTCTGGGCCACCCTCACCCCCCACGTTTAGACAATATTCCTACAGCACCCCCAGCACATCAACTGACAGCACCTGGTATATGTATATACGTGTTACGCCGTTATTACAACAGTTAACATCTCGCTGTCATGGCCTGAAAATAAACTTACAATAATAAGCATAGAATAACGAATAGAAAATAACCAGTTTGTCGCTAAACTGTTAAGATTTGCTTCAGTAGATTTCCACCTTGGTTATTTCAAAACAACACCACGCATAGTCTGTCGCTAAGTCCCTATCGGTTTATGGCTGTCGATGTATTCACCCCAAATCAACAATATATTCTCTCAAGTATAGGATATTTAACGTTTCCAAAACCAGCCAACCATCTTATACCCTGTGTGTGTCTAATCATGAAAGAGACAAGTTTCTATACAAGTCTTGCTGGTTTGGAACACCTTCCCTATACGAGGTATAAATATTTATACCAATGCATACAGGGAGCCGTTTTCTCTGAAAGGATTGTGAGAAGGTATTGTGGCGCCTGTGAGTAAACCGTCGCAGAAGACGGCACTTCAGTGTCTGAGATCCACTGACGGTCTGTCACGTGCACAGCACTAGCAAAAGGAATTTGGTTAAATAAACACAACACATCCGAATAGAGAGTAGATCTCACACACGCACAACTGTTGGTCGGTATTTTTTGAATATTAATAACACTGCAACACTGTCTCAGTGTGAGGGAACCCAGACAGGAAGATTGCGTGGTAATAACATACACCAAATTTCAATTTCATAGGCAATGTATGTGTAATTCAATTAAACTTACAACCATAATAGATGATTCATTTGTTCACAATGGCGAATATCTCTTCTAACTACCCTTATATATCATAGGGTCATATCGCAGAAAAAACATTCCGAATTTTATGTCCCAATATGTCAGTGTGTCGATATAAATATATATACCTATTAATGAAGTGCGTGTTTTCAAATTGAAATAAGCCAAAGTTAAGAATTGTGTCTACATCGTCTCATTTCGAAAGCAAAATATCAAAATGGTATTCTGTCGTTTATAGGTGATGTATATAAATGTTTTAGATCAATTGTGTCTACATCGTCTCATTTCGAAAGCAAAATATCGAAATGGTATTCAGTAGTTTATAGGGGATGTATATACATGTTTTAGATCAACCGACATCGCTGTAGGTCGAAAGAATAAAACCCGCTGCTCTATCCACGACGCCGGGACATTCCAATGGCACGTATCTTCCAGTAATAATGAGTCGGCGAGCTGTTTTATGTGTCGTTAATGAGATCGATAAACACTATATCTGCCTCGGGTTATTTATGTGGCCGCGAATTAGAACTCTATCGACACCTGCTCAGCTATGGGAGAACAATAAATGCAAGAGAATGCCTTAAGACGGTCTCTTAAGATTCGCAACGACTAAACGTGTCCTGCGTTAAGTAATGCGGGAATGCATAGTGCAATGTGGTGGCGTTTGCCTTCTCCCGTGATTCCATACTATATAGACTTGCGCTGATACTTCAGTAAACTACGGTTATTACGAACTCAAAGGGACCACTAATTTTAGTTCGTTATAACCGAGGTTCGTTATAAGGTGAGGTGAAATTGGGTTTAACGTCGCGTCCAAGATGATTGCACTTATATAGCGACGTGCATGTACGTGTGTGTGTTTGTGTGGCTGCTTGTACTAGACCGGACTGATGCCGATTTATAGTGCTAGCCCACTGAGATACCATGCCGCAGTTTAACATGAATACCCCACTCAGCCACAGTATACTGACTCCGAGCCGACCAGTCCTTGTTTTAGCCCCTTAATGCCGAGCACCAGACAGGGTAACAACAAGGACCATCTTTTAACGTCTTTTGGTATGACGCGACTGGGGATCGAACCCCGGACCTTCCGCTCTCCCACTAGACAACGGAGGCGGTCTTGGTTCGTTATAAGCATATATACAGCATATATACAGCATATATACAGCATATATACAGCTTATATAGGGTTTATCATCCAAACTGGCTTCAACAGGAGATATCGCATTGGGGAGGGAGATTTGACTTCAATGTACAACGAAATTGCAGTACATTGCTTTGCAGGCAGCAATGACAATTTCGGTTACCATGACGTCACAAATGCCATCCCTCATCATTAGTTGCATTTTTTACACTCAAGACATTGGTTGTTAGTCTTAACTCTAAAGTTAGGAAGAATGACGTTGGATGATAAATAGAATCTCTTCATTGTGTCCTTTTCATGACATATATCAACACTCGTCCATAAAAGATTAAAAGTCCTTGGCAAGCCTTAGTATTCTAATCTTTTTTCGACTCGTGTCAATAAAAGTTCATACATCTAGTGTGTCGAATCTCTATATTTAAACAATTATGGTGGCGTTAGGCTATTGTTCTCGTAGTCGATTCGGATCCACGAATTCGCTGGCTATTCTGAACGTGCATTTAAACACGTAAACCTGATGCAACAATATGTCATTTTGCGTAATTATAGAGGAATTATACATCAACCATAACATAGTTTAGTCAGAGAAATCACTCGAATCTGTTGATGCTCATGATTGTTCCAATACGTTCTTCATTAAGAAAACAGAAAACCCTGTTCAAATAAGAGTAAGTAGGATTCTACGCCCTATTGCAGCAATAGCACGGCGCGGAATCGAACCCGGGTCTTCCGTGTGACGAACGAACGCGTTATCCACAAGGCCACTCCAATGACAAATACGACAGAGATCCGGGGTAGAATAGGTCTTCAGCAACCCATGCTTACCGCAAAAGGCGACTATGCTTGTCGTAAGAGGCGAAATATCGGATCGGGTGGTCAGGCTCGCTGACTTGGTTGATGCATGTCATCGTATCCCAATTGCGTTGAGCGATGACCATGATATCAATCACTGGATTGTCTGGACCAAACTCGATTATTTACAGATCGCCGTCATATAGGTTGAATATTGCTGAGTGCGGCGTCCAACAACAAACGAACAAAACGCATACGACATCCTTTAAGAATGATTTACAATTCATTAAGAAATAAAGTTTGCTCTATCCCTATGTAAGGTGTACTAGTCTAGCCTTGCTCTGAACTGTTATAGGGGCGGTCGGGTAGCCTAGTGGTTAAAGCGTTCGCTCGTCACGCCGAAGACCCGAGTTCGATTCCCGACATGGGTACAATGTGTGAAACCCATTTCTGGTGCCCCCCGCCGTGATATTGCTGGAATATTGCTAAAAGCGGCGAAAAAAACATACTCACTCACTCACTCACTGAACTGTTATAGTTTAAGCGATTATATTACCTTCCTTCACCATGTTTGTCGCAGCAGAGGGCGACGACCAC